TTAGAACTATATTTCGTTTCGCTTTATTTTCCTAATATAATGATTACTTCATATTTGTAATTGTTTTTTACTCTAATTGTATCAGGTCTACTGGAAAGTTCTGTCCGTTTTTGGAATAAAACAAAATACAAACTTTTATTACCAACTTTATTTTAGTTAATTTGCTACGTCAGTATGTATACATTAAGTGATAAAAATAGAGAGGTACACATGCGCCAAATAAACATGTGCTTACGTGTCGAGAGTCGAGACTTGTTGTGATAGAAACGGACAGAACTTTCCGGTAGACCTAATATTATATTAATCATTTATTTTATCATTTTACCATCATTATTTATATAATTTATATAATAATTTTGCAAAACACATTTATACTCTCAAGATACAAGCGGGAAAATTTTTATTAGCAACAAGTTGCCTCCGACGCTTGTGTATCTTCCTTGCTTGTATTTCTTAATGATACATTTGGCAATAAAATGTTTGTTTATGGTGACTGCCGCAATAAGCGCGATCGCTAACGCACGAAAACAGAAGTCAACCACAATGACAATTGATTTCACCCGGCAAGATGTGCAAATAAAAATTTATCGAGCATAAAATCTAACGATGATGAGGCGTTTAATGAATCTAAAAATCGATTATCCGTGAACTTTCCCACGAGTTCTTATGTAATTATTCATGTGGTTTTACGCAGTACAGTTCTATGAGAAATTGAAAGTTGCGCGGCAAACACGTGTTTGAATATTAAGTAGACTTCGAAATTATACGATTTTGCAACAGAGATTTTGACTGTGTGTCATCGTGTCTCGGTGATATTGTGAATATTATTAAATTTAATCTGTAGAAAATAATGTTATTTTAAATAATTGGAAATAAAAATTTATAAAAATATTTTAATCAAAAAAAATGTATCCTACAAAAATAATGATATCAAAAAATTGCGCCAACTGAAAATAAAAAATTATACCAATTTTTTAACCGGAAACAGTTGTACAAAATAGTTGTTTTAATTTCTTACAAAAATAATGATATTAAAAAGTTATGCTAACTAAATAAAAATTCTAAAATTTATTTAATGACACAAAACAGAAAAAACATAAAATAAAATATTAATAGAAACATTAAAACTTAAAATTAAAAATTTATACAAAAATCAAAAATTAATACAAATAAAAAAAAATAAAAAAATTTTGCTTAAAGAAACTTGGCGCTGCTAAACTAAATAATATGCTAAAATTAATGTATTCCTTAATACATTTACATTGCAATTATTGATGTAACTAAATTAGATATAATTCTAAATAAAATTAATTTTTTGTTGGTCTTATATAATATATATTTTGTATACTTTGAAAATTATAAGATTAAGATTAATTAAAGATTAATTAAAGCTATAAGATTATAAATTAAGTCTAGTAAGAACTCGATCGCTTCAACCGTTATTGAAATCTCAACTGGCCGATTTGCGTATAAATACGCGGGGTACCTTGTTGTTGCTGCGCGTGACTTAGCGCGAGACATTACCGTATCTCTTGATATCAAGTTGAAAAAGATGTGAACCAATTAACTGACATTTATTACAAATTATTTGCGCTTGTAAAAGGGAATCACCGATGGGAGAATGCATATGATTTTCATAAAATTCTACGTGATTAAAAATAAAAATGATCATGCAGTTGAAATTTAATATAATAATTAAAATTTATATATTTAAAGAAGAATAAAGACATTGATCTTTATAATATTCTATATCTCGTTTCGTTTCATTACACATTTCATTGAAATAATCAATGATATAAAATTGACGGTCAAATATTGCGTAATGCGAATGATAGATGGTATATATTTTATAGGTCTATACACTTTTTTGAGAGAAAATCATAAATTAATTTCGAAGGCCGCAAACAACTCTTCAGAAGTGACTGTGACTTTCGAAATTAATTCCTGATCCGTAACTATATATATAGGCGTCTTCGATTGCTATTATCAGTTAGAAAAAATATGTTTTATTGGCATCATCTGCTTAAAGATATTTACAATTCCATTTTAAACATTTGAGTAGTGTTTCAACTGTTCGTCGCATCAAGTGAGTTTCTTAGGTAAGTAATCGACAGTATTTGTATAAACTAAAAATTTTAATAAACATTTTGAACACATAATTATTTTCACATAAGTTTTCTCAAATACCGCAAGTTGTTAGCTTGGTTTGATTGTTATAATTTTATTAAATGTATACACAATCGTTTCGTATCATCATCTCTTTAGCAAGTCCCATAGACATGACATAAGCCTTTTTATAGGATCTTTTATGACGATATTGTAAGTATTATTATCCTTCAACAATTTTTCGATCTTATTAAAGTATCCATTTTTATTGAGAGCAACTGTGATGTTCCCCTTGTCCGCGCTTGTGGCAATTATATTATCATCATCTTTAAAAAATTTTTTGATATTAGCAATTAATTGTTTAATGCGTGTGTTGAAATCATTTTTCAGAGTCGAGTAGTTCGGGAGATTATCGATAACCTTCTTAAATTTAATTGTTTTGCGCCGTTGTTTGTCTATAGCGGTAACGTTTGTTTTTATTATTTTATACCTTTTCGTCTAACGATAATTTATGCTCATTGTTACGCCGATAGTCAGTGAGTCTAGTTCTCTGCGATTTTACATCCCGATTATTTATTGTCGACCTGTGCGTTACTTCGCTTATCTGTAAGTTTTACAAATGTAATTTCCGAAGCCCTTCTCTCTCGTCATTTCGACATAAAATCCATTGCGCTTAATTTACAGACATAATTAATGTAGCACCATGTTCAATTCAATTTCTGACCAAAGTATCGAGGATTTCTTCCTCGTAACGACATGGATGCTCTTGAAAATATTCTTTCGCCTTTACTGGGATAATGTGAGAGACCTGCGCTATCTACTATCAGCTTAATCGGTTTTGTATCTATGCGCTTCTTAACCGCCTAAGAATCACTTATATGCTTATATTTTAATTTTATTAATTAATAAAGTGTGCGCAGAAGATGACTAAAAAAAAGGGTTGAAACGTCCGCCTTTCGCGAGTTTAAATTTTAATGTAATTCTTTTATAATAAACATTTATGCGCCCTTAATACCCAGCATGGCTCGTTTTGTCATTTTATTCGACATTCTTGATTTTATTGAAAATGTACATTTTTCTGACGGAGAGTGGGACGTTTCTCAAATGAAAATTTCTAGGGGGGGGGGGGGCCAGCTAGACATTAAGCCAGCTGTCCCCATAGTGAAAAAAATATATAGAATGCTTGAATCAAAAAATCAAATACACCAAAACTTGTTGCTATTTTGTTGCTCTGAAATAACACGAAAACATTTTTAACGTTTTGTCATTTTATTCGACATTCTTGATTTTATTGAAAATGTACATTTTTCTGACGGAGAGTGGGACGTTTCTCAAATGAAAATTTCTACATTTCGACTTTGCTTCGTAATATCTCTGCTTTATAGAACATGCAAAGCAAAAATAAAGACATTTTTCTTATATCAATCAAACTCAAGTTATTGATTAAGCCTAGTAAGAACTCGATCCGTTCAGCGGTTATTGAGAACTGATAATATCGGATATTCTTAATTGTCCGACTCACCCATATTAAGTTGGTCCCCTACCAACGCCAAATAAAGTCGCATCTATCAAATAATTTAGTGTTAATTATGTGCTAATTAGTTGCTGTAGTCCGGATTTTGCTGCTCAAATCAAAAAATCAAATACACTAGAACTTGTTGCTATTTTGTTGCTCTGAAATAACACGAAAACATTTTTTAAAAAATATATATTATTTAATTAATACTACTATACACTCAGTCTCGCCGCGACGTGCCATCCACATGCGCGAAGTAAAAGTAACTAAAAGGATTTGTTGCTCGCATGTTTTTGGTATTAAAATAATCTGTAGACAATATTGTTACGTTCTCGCTGGACGCTCGGTGTTATGTTCGCGCTGGATGCTTGGCAAGACACAACTAAAATTCTTTTAGTTAATTTACGTTATGATAGCGCGCGTCATATTGGGTCCGCGGCGACAAAGTGTCGATTTTTATTATTTTAAATCGAGCAACAAATTCAGTTTCTTATATATTTCAATAGTATATTGTCCACAGATTATTTTAGTACTAAAAACATGCGAACAACAAATTCTTTTAATTAATTTACGTTATGATAGTGCGTCATATAAGGTCCGCGGCAACAAAGTGTCGATTTTTATTATTTTAAAATGGGCAACAAATTCGGTTTCTTACATATTTCGATAATATATTGTTCACAGATTATTTTAATACCAAAAACATGCGAGCAACAAATTCTTTTAGTTACTTTCACTTCGCGCAAGTGGATGGCACGGCGCGGCGAGACTGAGTGTATAGTGGTATTAATTAAACAATATCCTTTTTTTAAAATGTTTTCGTGTTATTTCAGAGCAACAAAATAGCAACAAATTCTGGTGTATTTGATTTTTTGATTTGAGCATTCTATATTTTCTTTTTCACTATGGGGGGGCTGTCTTAATGTCAATCTGCCCCCCCCCCCCCAACCATTTTGAACGTAAATTCCTGCTAAACGGTTTGAGCAACAAAATCCGGACTACGGCAACTAATTAGCACATAATTAGCACTAAATTATTTGATAGATGCGACTTTATTTGGCTTTGGTGGGGGGGGGGGGGCCAACTTAATACGGGTGTCCGACTCGCGTATAGATACACGGTGTGTCTCGCCCATAGACATAGTATATCTAGACCGAGTGTTGTGAAGTGGTGGCCAAGGTGCACATAGAAAAGGACGTACTCTGTTCCGTGCCCCTTACGTTCTCTCTCGCTCGCACGTAGCATAACGAAAGAGAACGCTATGCTATGTACGAGCGAGAGAGAACACAAGGGGCACGAAACAGAGTATGTCCTTTTCTACAAGCATCTTTACCCCCATTCCTTAAATAAAGGTAAACGCTCGGTCTAGATATATTATGTCTATGATCTCGCCATTGCTGCGCGCAATCTTTGCTTCGCGTGATTTGGCGCGAGACACTACCGTGTCTCTTGATTTTTACTTCTTGAAATTTTAACAATTAAATAATCAACAAAAATAAAAAAGGCTTTTGTAATGTGTATTCAAGAATCAGTAAATCAGTAAGCTAAAGAAGATCAACCTTAATTAAACGATCAAGAACATCACGTCAAGAAACGATGTTTATCACTATAATGTTATTATCCATGTTTATTTTATTGGTATATTATTATTACGTACATTATGGAAGAACTGGACGACTCATTAATCTTATACCGGGACCACTGGGCAATCCGATCGCTGGCAATGCATTTCAACTTTATCTTTCAGCAGGCAAATATAAAATATCTAATCTATTTACATTAATTGTCAGACGATCCGTCATTTATGCACATATACGCAAAAGTTAAATTCATAAAACCTTGTGCTCTGGAACGTATACCTATCAAAACCTATCCGCAAACAGATTACATATTTTAGCTCCTTCTCTTGGCAATATCCATTTGCAAATCATTATCATAATTATTAATTGTTTATTTTCAACGTATCTGAGTAAAAATGCAATAAAATAACGATAAAATTAATCCCACCAAAATTTTTGTATTGATATTTATAATATATTTTTAGAGGAACAATGGAAATTGAAGCGTAACCTATCTAATAAGTATTATCCTATTTTTAAATTATGGATGTTCTTCACGTATGGTGTGTCTATCCGTCATCCAGATGATCTAAAGGTAATAAAAAAGAAATTCGATTGTCTGTAGGCATTACAATTTAGTCAGATTTAGGAATCTTGCGTTTCACAAGAATATTTTTGCTCATAAAAAAAGATTAAAAAATTAAAAGCTTAAAAAGATAAATAGAGAAGATATCGATGTATTCGATCTAGATCAGATAGGAATTTGAGCTACGATTAATAAGTTATTTGTGCATCTAAAAGATTGAGTGATATAATATAAATTAATGTTTCTCTCTTGACATGTTTTCGATGATTTCAGACGATACTAAACAGCACCAAGCGCTTCGAGAAAAGTCGTTTATATAATTTGTTTCATCCTTGGCTCGGCACAGGTCTTTTCACCAGCACAGGTAACATAATGGCATTAATATATAACTGTACATACTTTACTATTACAATTTGTTTTTGATTTGTTTCCATCACAGAAAATCAAATAAAATACAGAATTAGTTGCAGAATTAAGCTTGAATATTATTTTTAACGATGAACTCTTACAACTTTTTTTCGTATTGTAAAAAGTAATAAAGTTGAAAGAAATTTGCAAGTAAAATCATATTGAGAGATGATCTCGCCGTGATACGTGTATTCTTAAGTAAATAGAAGTAATAGATATTTCAAATAAAGAAAATTTTCAATTAAATCGAACACCTTCACATAATAGACTTTTTAATAAATTATATTTTATTTTTGACTGGCAATCCATAAAGTTTTAATTACAAAATAATAATTAAATTCAAGTTCACACTTGCAACTCCTTTTACCACACAAATTTCGTGAGAAGGTTTAAAAAATTATAGAAGAATTTTGCGCGATACAAAAAAAATAGATAATTATGCATATTAGGACCAATCTCACCAATTTCAATGATATGTATATGTTGTCAAGGATATGGCCCTAAGTAACTTTCAAAAAGTTTTAGCCGTCACTTATTATTTACTAAAAAGTTATTAACAAAATAAGTTTGACAAGTGGAACGTAATTGTCTGACACCGTGTACATTTAAAAAGGAATATATTTATTGGAATATGTGTTCAATATATAGTAATCATAATATTGCTGTCTTTGTTTATATTCTTTATAAGTAAATTTACTACAAATACGTATTAAAACGTAGTAAATCTCCTTTCCTTATGCGTCAAATTAAAAAAAAAAAATATTTTATAATTTCACTTCATAATACACACACATGCTATATATACGTGTATTGTGTATATGTGTATACTTCTTAACATTAATGTCAGAAAATTTCGTTCTATTCGTTAAACTTATTTTGTTAATAACTTTTTAATAATATTATGTGAGAATTGCTCAATAAACATCAAATTAAGAAAGAGAATAATCTTATATAATATTATTTGTATTTAACCGCACAATTTGCGTTATTTTGGTTTTGTTCTAGGCGCTAAGTGGAATGCGCGACGAAAGATATTAACATCTGCGTTCCATTTCAATATATTGAATCAATTTACTAATATTTTGATCAAGGAGGGCAATTGTATGACAAAAGCTTTGAAAGATGTCGGAGGAGTAGTCGTAAAAGATTTAGTACCATTTATTAGTGAACATACGCTAAACGCCATATGTGGTAAGTTTTCTGTAAAGTTCTTATTGTCCTGTATTATGTGCAGGGATTTCATTCTAAATGATATCATAGTTTAAAATAAGAAGATAAGTTGTTCCCATAGAGAATATCAATGCTGCACAAAAGATAGATAATATCCAATTTTTTATACTCAAAGTTACTTACGAAATATTCAGTTGTAATTATCTTCGACTATATATCCGGTGTTATACATGTACTTACAGAAACTGCCATGGGCGTCTCTCTGCAAAAAATCTGCAAAAACGAGTTCCAGCAACAGTATCGAGATGCAATTCACGACATAATCGAATTGCTATTGTATAGGTAATTTATGGATATAATAATTAATTGTGTGAAGTATTTATAATCCTTTAAGTTATGATTGTGTGTGATATATATTTTCTATATATATTTTGTATAACAAATTAAATATTAAATAATCATGTAAAGGTAAACAATTAGTTTGAGACATCGATTCGTTTAAAGCGACAATTAGGAATCAAAATCTATTGTACATGCTCCGTTAAATGTTCCACTTTAAAAGAAAAATTATTTGCAATCTTTAAAATGTTGAAAATATTGTAAATGTTAGAATATTGAAATATTAAGTAAAATGAATTGTGCAATATAAAATCTGAAGAGAAATTATCCTTGATCAAAAAATCTATAGTTAAAACAAAAGTATAATGTTTTTAAAAGATTCTAAATTTTTTTTTGTAAGATACATAGTTTTAAATTTATTTTTTTACCTATATTCTCTACATTCGATGACATTACTTAAAGATTACTGTAAGATTTTATTGCGGCTTTAAATAAGGCTTTTACAAAATTACATCATTATTGAAATTATATAGTTTTATTTAATTATGGTTTAGAGCATTCAGGCCTTGGTTTTATAACGATTTGTTATTCTCATTATCGCCACAAGGAAGAAAGCAAAAGAAGATCTTGAAAATATTGCATGGATTTACGGAAAAAGTACGTTATAAATTATGTTATTTTAAATCCGCTAAACTCTATCTTTTATATAAAATTACAATAAATCTCGTAGTCTTTGTACGGCAAGATTACATGATTAATCATAAATATTAATAATATATTATGCTATTAATATTTATGATCTAGTACAATGTACTATTATTATTTAATACAAAAAATCATTTTAAAAATTTAATATTGTACTCGTGTGTAGGTCATCACGGAAAGAAAACTTTATCACAAACGCACCAATGGCCGATATTTGAAAAACTTTGAAAATGAGACGGAAATAGATGATGTCAAAATATCTGGAAGTACGTAAGAGATCAGAGCTAATATTAAAATCTGAATTTTAAACAAAAATAATATTATATAACTAAATCGCATGCAAAAATGAGATTAACATTAATGTGCTTTTTTATTTCTAGTTAAAAAAAAACAACTAGCTTTGTTGGATCTTTTAATAGCAGCATCTGAAGACAATCTTTTAACTAATTTGGACATCAAAGAAGAAATCGATACCTTTATGTTTGGGGTATGTATCTGTAATCGTTTTATAAATTTTTTGTACACATCATCTAAGCACGTTTCATTATATGATGATATGCATATGACAATGATTACAGGGTCACCATACTACAGCGATCAGTATAACCTTCGCTTTATTACTTCTAGCTGAAAACAAAGATGTCCAGGTATCTTTTTCGCAGTATATTGCAATATATTATTTAAATTGCTATTATTATTGAAAGTAGTACAAATATCAAACTTTTGTTGCAATGTATTTTTTAATTTATTAAAAATTTATCGGTATCTATGCATATAAAAAACCGAATATTATGAAATACACTTAAATTATTATCAATAACATAGGAACGTGTGAGGATTGAAGTCGATACCGTGATGCGAGAGAACGGAGGAAAACTTAACATGACATCGTTGAAAAATTTGTCATATTTAGACAGATGTGTAAAGGAAATACTGCGTTTATATCCCGTCGCGTCTTTCATATTACGAAATGTTGAAGAAGATGTAAAATTAGGTAATTAATCACTTTTTTTGCTGCTTATCTTTGAACATGTCACATTTTACAGTATATATTAAAGTACATACTATTGAATGTAAAATAAGTTTAATTGGTTTAATACTTTAAGAATACAATATTATATTCATGTTATTTTTCAAAAAAACTCTTAATTTCATAAATTTTTATATTTTGTAATTTTATAATATGCTTTTCAGGTTCATATGTCGTACCTGCCGGAACAATCTTACATCTTGATATCTTCGAAGCTCACAGAGATCCCAACTTTTGGTCAAATCCAGATGTATTTGATCCAGATAGATTTTTGCCAGAGAGAATGCAGAATCGTCATCAATATTCCTATCTACCGTTCAGCGCAGGACCGAGAAATTGTATAGGTAAATTGTTCGCGATTTTCGTTTCTTCTCATGTCGATAGTTTTTAATAAAGCTTCAAATTGTAGGTCAGCGATTCGGTCTGCTACAGTTAAAAGCTATAATTTCTTCTTTGGTGCACAATTTTTACTTGGAACCCATAAATTATTTAAAGGATATCCAGTTGAGCTTCGATATAATAATTCATCCTTCTCATCCGGTTTACATAAAATTTATCCCAATCAAACGCAAATAATCGTTTAAAACTAATACAAATATCACATGAATGTAAGAAATCAAAATGTTTTGTACAATAAAATGATTTAATGTGTGATCGTGTGTATACTTTACGTTAAATATGTTTTATTTCTAATTAATTCTTTTATTACCTCCATGTGTAATCTTTCTCTCTCATATTTTATTAGTTTCATATTTTTATATCTTTATTACATTAAATATTTAGTATTTCAAAAACATGTTAAATGAAAAGAATAAAATTTTATAGTGCTTGTATTTCTCTTTATTTCTAATAAACTCTCATTATTAATACACTCTTTAGCTGAAAAACAGGTATAAATATAGCCAGCAGGAAAAGCTCGGGGGCGGAAGGCCTCTCCGAAGTAGTGCAAATGCCAGATTCCGGAGAGGCCTTCTCAAACGCCCAGGTGTGTATGCCACCCGGAGGGGTTTTAGTGGGTAGTCCCCTGGTTGTTTATTTAAGCCAGGGGTGAGTCCCATATAACCCCGTCTCGAACCCCATCGAGACGGGGTATGCGTAAAGGCATTTCCCCTCCGTTACAAAAAAAAAAAAAAAAAACAAGGTATAAATATAGATTTTTATTTCAGAGAATAACGATTAGCTCCGTAATATATATTAATCGTTTATTAAATAATTGATATATAATTTAAAATAATTGTTTAATATAATATTCCGCTTGTATATACGTCATAATACACAAAATAATTTTGGTTGCAAATTATCAATAACATGATATGCGGCCTTGGCGGCGTAAACAATAGCGCGGTTATTGCTTACGTGTTACGGCTTTGTTTTCATTCGCATTAGAATAGGACTGTAATAGTGGGAGATGCTACGTCACAAATTCCTTTCCTACAATACTTATCATTCACGCGACGACACTCGAATAGAAAAGTAATAATGCTTCGTCAAATTCCTTTTCCAAACTCGCCATTGGGGAATAACTTGATATAATTAATATGATAAATAATTAAATATCTTTTAAATACGTTAAATCATATGTTAATAATAACGCGTCGATAAATTTCAAAACGCGTACTTCGCATAATTTATTTTTTAAATTTTAATTAAATTTCATTTTATTTGTTCAAATAAGAGAAGTGACAGAAGTCCCAAATAATAAATTATTGTTTTATTGCAATCTTTCTTTATGAGCAATAATTATTTCTTTAATAATATTTATTTAAATATAATTTTAATTTAAATTAAATATTATAAAGTTAAATATATTTCTTCCAGTACTTTATCGTTCGACTCTTCAACGATCTAAATATGATTAACATTGGGAACGCGCAATTAAATAATCGAATCGCAGGATCGAGTAATTCATTTAACGAAAAACTTCGTATTAATATGATTAATAATTAATTATTTTTTACATACGTTAATTATATCGCGACGGTAAATTTCAAAGCGCGTATTTAGCGTAATTTATACATTTAATTTTAATTAAGTTTTATTTTATTTATTCAAGTAAGAAACGTAGTGATAGAAGTCCGAAATAATAAACTACAGTTTTGTTGCTATCTCTCTTTACGAGCAATAATTATGTCTTTAATAATATTTAATTAAATAATTTAAATTTCAATTAAATTTCAATTAAATATTTTAAAGTTAATATATTTCTCTCTCTTTCTCTCTCTCTCTTTTGGTATTTTATCGTTCGATCCTTCGACGATCTAAATATGATTCACATTTGGAACGCGTAATTAAATAATTGAATCGCAGGATCGAGTAATTAACTAACGAAAGATTTCGTGATACATATCTATCGATTAATAAATGATTGATCTATAATTTAAAATACTTATATAGGCGTATATATATACATCATAAGACGTGAAATATTTCGGCAATGTGCTATCAATAGCAAGGTGTTTGGCCTTGGCGTCGTAAACATTAGCGCTTTATTGTTTACGTTTACGGTCTTGTTATCATTCGCACGGCGACACTTGAATAGTACCATAATAGTGAGGGACGCTACATCACAAATTCCTTTCTTACAATATTTATTATTATTCACGCGACGACACTAATTATATATATTTTTAATAATTATACTTCTCAAAAGTCTTTATCCCCCAAAAAACTCTTTTAGTAATTATCAAATTTATCATTAAATATCTATTTAAGGAAAAAATTTGGTTGCGCGTAATAATTAGTTTTTCAAAATTAATTATTTTAAACTCTTTGCTTATGATGCAGAATATATTACAATAAAGCGCGGATTAATCGCGCTCGAAATTTGGCGCGTCAGCCGCCATCTTGCGCGTCGCATGGCGCGCGACAAATAGGAGCGCGCTCCCACAGCGGCGCTACGCGAATCGCGCCAGGCCCGTGGCATCGCTCGTGCCGTTCGATGCGGGCCAAACAGCGGTCACCCGAGAGAGCCTAATTTACAAATAAGCGGCAATAACAACGTTCAAATTTTAACAATCATCGAAAACAACTACCGGCGCGATCTTTTCAGACAAACACGTAGAAAATTCTAGAACACAAAAAGAACGATTGTATAAAAGCTCTCTCGGGGAACCGCCGGGCGCACTCGATCGAGATTCATCCGTGACAGTGTGTGCTTATATCGTTTAAACGCTCGCTATAGAAAAGTCGCTCGCTTTTCTAATTCGTACGCTCGTTTACGAAACGCAAAGTTCACGATTATACTAAAAGAGATTTTTCGTCGCTCGCGATTAATCTCTCGTTATTAAAACGCGCCGTTTATTCCGTCGCTTGCGGAATCGCGCCGTTTATACCATCGCTTGCGGTATTCGCGATATATCCGTCGCTCGCGTAGATTATCGTTACGCTCCCGGTCGCTCGCCGGAGCAATCACTCGGTTAAGATTAGCATAAATCTTATCGACAAAGAACTTATTAACTATTTATTGTTCTTAATAAATTGACTGCTTTTTTTTAAACGATTTCGTGTCTGTTGTTCACTCAATTCGCGCTCCCGGGTTCACTCGCGCACATTTTTGGTCCTTCGAGCCTGATTTCTCTAGATTATAAATCTTATACGGAAAACATTTAATTCTTGAATAATTTAAATAATTAAATAATTATAAATTAAACATAAAAATTACAATTTGTAGCAATACTAACATGTTTGGCATTGGAGGAGTTGGCTGTATTAATTAGGTTCGATTTTCGCTCGTTAGAGAAGATGATCTCCCGTTTTCTAAGTGATCTAGATTGTTAGCACCTAGGAGGTGGGTATCTTCATTCTCGACCCGTCTCTCAGCCTTACGATAAACCCGGCTCAGTCTGTATGATAGAGACTTGGTGGTTCGTATGAAATCGTTCCTAACAAAGTTCGAGTCGGCCCTCGATGGGGGCAGGCGCGGACCAAGAGTCGAGCGAACCCCATTCTCGTCGATTCCATCAATCGATTTCGTTTTCTTCCGCTTCCGCTTAACCTTTGCTCGAAGTAATCGGTGAATTCCCGACTTGTCGACTCGAAGTGTGATTCTCACGTGAAGCGGGGTTCGATCGTGCCGAAATTCGAAAGTGCGGGAGTGTCGTTCAAAGTATTGCGCGTATAAGTGCGGAAGTAATATCTTTTAATAAAAGTGCGGGAGTGCCGTTTAAAGTATTGCGCGTATGAATCAACCTGAGAGGAAGAGGAGGCCTAGGAGAGGCGTCCTGCACCGGCGGAGCAACCCTAGGGTGAGTATTTATTATTTGTATATCAGTTGTTAAAAATCGCGTACGCGCATTAATTCGGTCTTTTTATTTGAACGAATTAAACAAGAAAAAATTAAAAAGAAAGACTTTTACATAAATCCTATAAAAGTTTCTATTTGAAAAAAAAAGTCTTTTTATAATTTATAAAATTGTTCCATATTTATATAGAGCTTCTTAGTATTATACGCACCGGATATAAAATCTTCCGCACGAAATATTAATTATATCTTGGACGCTGCTATAATTTGGACTTTATATTTGTATGTTACAGACAACGTAGCCTCAAGACCAACAACTCCGCTGTTGCGCATCAGTGCCGGTGAGTGATGAACTTTATTTTATTTTGAGGTAACGGATTCATAGATTTGTAGATTGTAGATTGTAGATAGATCCGTTGCCTCAAAATGGATGGGCTAGATTAAATAAAATAACTTTTACTAGATTTTTTCAATATGCATTAAAATATATTACAGCTACAGTTTAAGATATAGATTAAAATAAAAATTTGAAAAGAATATAAAATATTTTTTTCAATCGATAAATTTTATTTAATTTGTTTAATGAAGAAGGCGATACTAATTTTATTAATTGTATAAAATGGTAATAATTTATTTTCATGTTACGCCGATTTTATCCTAATTTTTCATAGCCCATTCATCTATTTTATCATATCAATTAAAGTTTTGCTTTAATTGCTATAAAGCCAAATTATTGATCTATTAAATTATATAAAATATAAATCTTTTTTTAAGTTTATTTTAATATAAATTATATCATACTTCGTTGCCGACTAAATGGGATGTCTCTCAGCGTTGCAATCTTTAATATATTAATACCTATTAATATAATTAATTTTATATTAATATCAGTTAATATTAATACTATATTAATATTATCTATTATATAAATATTTATGTATTAATAAATTTAATATATTAATGTAGGGGCAATTTTGAAACGCCTCAGTATCGCGGCTGAAGTGAATGCCGGCCGCGTAGTAACGTATGTTCGTGCATAGTATAGATTATAGATGCATTATTTATAAATATTATTATTAAAGTTAGGAGATTGTGTTTTCATATTAAAGAATTGTTAATAAATTCGGAAAATTGCATTTCAAACTTTATAAATATCACGAATATCGCTAATTCTTCTAACATTTAATAGAAAAATGATTGAATAAAAATATGAAGACTCGATGTTAAGCTAACGATTAAATATTATGGTTCTTGTAAGATCCATCCGCGATGTCTAGTTCGGTGTTCTGTTGAAAATTAGGGATGTTTGTTGTAGGATTGGAATTAAACCCAGGTTTTCCTGGCGATTTCTGGAAGCAATGATTTCGGTAGTAACTCAACGACGACTGCCACACGCCTTTTCGAAGTCGAATCA